TGTAGTAATTTTCTGGTAGAGTCTTTAGGGTTTTCTATGTAGAGGATCATGTCGTCTGCAAACAGTGAGAGTTTTACTTCTTCTTTTCCTATCTGGATTCCTTTTATTTCTTTTTCTGCTCTGATTGCTGTGGCCAACACTTCCAAAACTATGTTGAATAGTAGTGGTGAGAGTGGACACCCTTGTCTTGTTCCTGACTTTAAGGGAAATGCTTTCAATTTTTCACCATTGAGGATAATGTTTGCTGTGGGTTTGTCATAGAGAATCTCAAACAGGATAAACCCAAGGTGAAACACCCCAAGACACATATTAGTCAAATTAACAAAGATCAAGCACAAAGAACAAATATTAAAAGCAGCAAAGGAGAAACAACAAATAACACACACTGATCTGTCAATAGAAACTCTTCAGGCCAGAAGGGAATGGCAGGACATACTTAAAGTCATAAGAGAATAACCTACAACCCAGATTACTGTACCCAGCAAGGATCTCATTCAGATAAGAAGAATTCAAAAGCTTCACAGACAAGCAAAAGTTGAGAGAATTCAGCACCACCAAACCAGCTGTTTAACAAATGCTAAAGGATCTTCTCTAGACAGGAAACACAGAAAGGCTGTATGAATGTGAACCCCAAACAACAAACCAAATGGCAACAGGACCATTCTTATCAATAATTACCTTAAATGTAAATGGGTTGAATGTCGCAACCAAAAGACAAAGACTGGCTGAATGGATACAAAAGCAAGACCCCTATATATGCTGTCTACAAGAGACCTACCTCAAAGCAAGGGACACATACAGACTGAAAGTGAAGGGCTGGAAAAAAATATTTCACGCAAATGGAGACCAAAAGAAAGCAGGAGTCACAATACTTAAATCAGATAAAATAGACTTCAAAATAAAGGCTGTGAAAAGAGACAAAGAAGGACATTACATAATGATAAAAGGATTAATCCAAGAAGAAGATATAACAATTATAAATATATATGCACCCAACATAGGAGCACTGCAATATGTAAGGCAAATGCTAGTAAGAATGAAGGGGGAAATTAACAATAACACAATAATAGTGGGAGACTTTAATACCCCACTCACACCTATGGACAGATCAACTGAACAGAAAATTAACAAGGAAACACAAACTTTAAATGACACAATAGTCCAGCTAGACCTAATTGATATCTATAGGACATTTCAGCCCAAAACAATCAATTTCACCTTTTTCTCAAGTGCACACAGAACCTTCCCCAGAACAGATCACATCCTAGGCCATTAATCTAGCCTTGGTAAATTCAAAAAAATTGAAATCATTCCAGTCGTCTTTTCTGACCACAATGCAATAAGTTTAGATCTCAATTACAGGAAAAAAAAAACTATTAAAAATTCTATTATGCTTTTATAAGAGGAGGGGTGCAAATTTTGAGATTACAAAGTCACCATAAATCAGTCATCTTCTGTAATATTATATATGAATATTTTCTAAACAACACATAAAGCTATCATAAAAAGTCCCTGGATACAGAGAAATTATAATCTCTGTAATAAACCTTACTGTTTATACAACTGTTCTCACTAAAATTTTGTTTTACAATCTACATATTATTTAGCTGTGAAGCAAAGTACAGCATGTACAGTCATCTGGAACAAAATGATACATCTTAGTAGGGCATTCCCTGTCAGTCCAGTGGTGAGAACTCAGTACTTTTCACTTCCAGGGCCCAGGTTCAAATTCTGGTTGAGGAGCTAAAATCCTGCAAGATCCTTGCCATGAAACCAAGAAAATAAAAAAACCTGGAGAAAACTATCATTCAAAAAGATAAACACACTCCTATGTTCATAGCAGCACTGTTCACAACAGCCAAGACAAGGAAATGACCTAAATGTGCACGGGCAGATGAATGGATAAAGAAAATGTGGTGCTTTCATACAGTGGGCTATTACTCAGCCATGAAATAATGCCATCTGCAGCAACATGGATGGACCTGGAGATGATAGTGAATGAAGTAGGTCAGACAGAGACAATATCATGTGGCATCACTTCTATTTGGAATCTAAAATATGACACAAATGAACCTATTCTCAAAACAGAAACAGACTCACTGACACAGAGATCAGAATGGTGGTTACCAAGAGGGGTGCAGGGGGAGGGGTAGACTGAGAATTTGGGATTAGCAGAAAGGATGTTACATTTAGGGGACTTCCCTGATGGTTCAAGCAGTAAAGAAACTGTAATTCAGGAGACTGGTTTGATCCCAAGGTTGGAAAGATTCCCTGGAGAAGGGAATGACAACCCACTCAGTATTCTTGGCTGGAGAATTCCATGGACAGAGGAGCCTGGTGGGCTACAGTCCGTGCGATAGCAAAGACTAGGACATGACTCACACACACACACACACACACACAACATTCAGAATGGATAAACAACAAGGTCCTACTGTGTAGCACAAGGAACAACTACACCCAATCTCCTGGGATAAGTATTTAAATATATATATATATATATATATATATATATATATATATCTGTGTAAAACTGAGTCACTCTGCTGTACTGCAGGGATTGGTACACTATAAATCAACTAATACTTCAACTAAAAATAAATTTAAAATAATAAAATAAAAGGCTTAAATTCCATTTTAAGGGGCAATCTAAGTAAAATATATCTATAGAACCAAACATAAATGAATTTGGTTAAAAAAGAAAGACAATCCCAAGTCTTGTTTCACAGCTGGTCTCCACACAGAGGTCTGCTATCAGCTCACACTGGGGAACGTGGTCCTCAGTGCGGCTGACAAAACAAGCTGAGCTTCTAGGGTATAAGGGACGGCATCGCTTTTAACAAAGTTCACCCTGCAAGTAAGTTGCTTCAACTGAAAACATAGCTAGCATTTTGGAATGTTTTCTGAACAGCAAGTTTAATTAATATTTGTTAGTCCACAAGTTTTCCCAAAAAATGTTAAAAGAAATCTACACATAACATAACATTATTTGGGGTATTGTTTAAGAAAATGATTCAAAAAGACTTTCTGTTGCCCAAAGTTATAGAGTTACTTATTGCCACTGAACTGTACACATAAATATGGTTAAGATGGTAAATTTTATACAATTTATATTTTACACAATAAAAAGTATACACAAGAAATAGGTGAAGAGATGCACACTGCCATATATAAAATAGATAAAAAGGGAAAGCGTTAGTCACTCAGTTGTGTCTGACTCTTTTTGACCCTATGGACTGTAGCCCACCAGGCTCCTCTGTCCATAGACTTCTTCAGGCAAGAACACTGGAGTGGGCTGTCATTCCCTTCTCCAGGGGCTCTTCCTGACCCAGGGATTGAACCTGGGTCTCCTGCATGCAGGCGGACTCTTCACTGTCTGAGCCACCAGGGGAGCCCCTAACGTAGACGAACGACAAGCATCCACTGAATAGCACAGTGACAGACTTTGCTTTCTTTGGCTCCAAAATCACTGCAGATGGTACCTGCAGCCATGAAATTAAAAGATGCCTGCTCCTTGGAACAAAAGCTATCACCAACCTAGACAGCATATTAAAAATCAGAGATGCCACTTTGCAAACAAAGGTCCATATAGTCAAAGCTATAGTTCTTCCAGTAGCCATGTACAGATGTGAGACCTGGACCATAAAGAACCTGAATGCCAAAGAATTAACACTTTTGAACTATGGTGCTGGAGAGGACTCTTTGAGAGTCCTTTGGACTGCAAATAGATCAAACTAGTCAACATAAAGGAGATCAACCCAGAGAAACCACTGCCAATATTTTTCACGTTTTGAATTCCTATGAATTATACCCAAGTCACAAAGAAACGCCCAACATATTCCCCACCACAAAAACCGTGTCAGAACACGTGAGAGGCAGAGAAAGGAAGGAGCAACGGAAGAAGCAAGCACTGAATCGTCACCTCGATGGACGTGAATCCACAAATCGACAGAGTAAAGCTGAACAAACGTGACTCAGACAAGGAGCCGCCCTACACCCTGCATTTCAGACCACGGGATACTCACCCACTTGTTTCTGAGTAGCAGGCTTGGTTCTTTTTTCCTTAAGTCCCAAGTACAGCGGGGAGGTCGGTGAGACACAGGAGCTAAAATAAAAACAAGGCCCTGGTCTGTGACAGCAAACTTGCATGGCGGACTTGTTTCAGGGAAACGCGCATCTTAAAGACAGGTTCGCACAACTCTGCACCTGGGCAGCACCGACAGGTCCGGTCCGCGGCGGGGGCGCTGCTGGGATCTCAGCAGAGCAGCAGGGTCCACCTCCACCAGCGCCGTCTCGTTGCCGAACATGGACGTGAGCAAGCAGAGGGCCTGCGCAGAAGGGTTCAGAGAATCGGTCGTGGTTGTGGGCAGACTTTAGTTGTGCTAATGGGTGTCCTGTGCAAACGCGTGTGACCCCTGAACCTTCACACACAGCCTCACACAGTGAGCGGCCGCGAGAGCATGTCGGAAGAAGGGAGAATAAACCACAGCAGGAGAGGCACACCGCCCAGCATGGCTCACGACTCACCTCACGCCCGCCGGTTCTGCTCGCCACGGCACACGATCCAGCTACCTGAATGCTGAGGCTCCAGAAGTCTTCATTCCCAGCAAGGAGAAAACAGGCCACGCATAAGGCCACGAGGTGCTGCCTGTCCACGGGCGGGGGCCGGGGCCGCGAGGACAGAGCGCACAGGCCGCTGCCCCTGCAGAACCGCCCGGGCGTGAGCCTGCAGACCCAACTCCACACAGGGCCGCGGGAGTGCGGAAGGCGCAGCGTCCCCGTGAGGACTGTGAGCCAGGCTGGCACACGGCGTGCGACCTTAAAGGCAGAAAACCAGCCGGAGCGGGCAGGCCCAGGCGCCAGGCAAGCGGAGGCCACGTGCACAGACAGGCGACAGGGAGCTGGCTCCCCAGGAGGAGGGCCCGAACCAGGAGCCCTGGGGAGCGGCGTGGACCAGGCCAGAAGCCAGCGCAGACATGGCCAGGCCATGTGCACACGGGGCAGCGGGCAGCAGTCCCTCGTCTCCCCACATCCCAGGGGCAGGCGGGGACCAAGCCTGAGGGCGTGCGGATGCCGGGATGGGCAAGGAGACTGTCACTCAGCCCAACAGCTGTGAGGGCGACCAGGCGCGGACACACAGGGCCAACTTCAGGTTCCGGACGTGGCTGGGCCCCAGGAGGAGGGGGTGGGGGCCTGGTAAACACGGGAGACAGAGGACCAGGGGTAATGGGCTGCAGGCGGGGCTGGGGGGCGGGGCGCGTCAGGACAGCCAGCATGGCACACGATGACCCGGGAGCCTGGTCCCTGGGGGTCAGTGACGGGCACCCACCATGACCCCCAAATGTCAGACAAAAGAAAACGTTCAAGTTACATACTATCTGTATCAAGGATTCTCTGAACATAGGTCTTACCCTTGTAATGTAAAACGCCCTCCAGTTCAAAGCTTGCCAGGTTAAATATGAGCAAACCAGCAGAGCTTCCAATCCACAAACAGCTGCCAGTCTCAGAGAGGCTGATTTCAAAAGGAAGAGAGAAAAGCGTGTGCTGACTGTCCCCCCTCAGCCAGGGTGGCAGAGACCCCGGACTTCGGGGAACCTGAAGGTCCCCTGCCCCAGTCTTGGGTGCCGCCCCCATCTCAGATGACATCTAACACGTCCCCCGGGCGGGCTTCCTAGGCCCTACTGTCCAGGGAAGGTAGAACTCAGAGGGCCACAAGCTGGGCCTTTCCTTTCCTCTAAGGTCACCAGAGGTAGGCATCTGCGGCCTCCCTGAGAGCCCCGCACAGGTGGGCATCCCTGCCACAGCCCCACGCCTGCACCATGGCTGCGCCTGAAGACCCTGCTGAGCGGAGCTGACGAAGCGGAGACTGACCAACAGTGGCATTCACGCCAGGACAGACAGATCTGCCGCCGCTGCTTTGTTTTCCGGTTTACAAACTAGACACAGGTGGTAGGCTGACTGGCCGGCCTCCTCTGGCTTCGCAGACCTGGACCCAGAGCAGCGTCTTCAGGCACCTCCCTCCCACGCACACCTTGGCCACCAGGCCTCCAACAGCCCCCACTCCCTGGGCTGCTCATGGGTCCTCAGCCTCCAACACCAGCCCCAGGGAGACCACGTGAGCCTGAGCAGAAATAGGGTCACTCTCCCTGAGCAAAGGTGGGGAGCCAAGGCCTCAGACCCCCAGTCAGCTCAAGTCCAGGCCAGGCAGGGGCCCTGTGCAGGCACGGCTGCTGGATGGGGAAGCACAGCAGGGCTGCAACCGCACCAGCCGCCTCCTCAGGGTTCCCACCCCAGCAGGACCAAAGGCAGGCCTTGGTCAAGGCCAGAGCTCTCCACAGTCTATGTGGAGCCAAGGGGAATGAAATCATGACATGTTTGCTTAGTCAGGGTAAAACAGTGGCTCACTTATGTTGCCAAATATTTAAAATATTTCTATAAAACAAGAAATAACTAAAATTCATTTGGGGTCAAATTTAAAGGTATGAAATATGGCACAGATGACGGAAGTTTAGAATGAGTTATGATAATCTTACCATTTCCCCTATTATAGAAGTCAAGATCTGCATCAATGAAAATTAAAGTGAAGAAAATTAAAATAATCTCATTTCCTTTATTAAATAGAGTTAAAAATAACTGATCAAGATTATCAACCTTAAGGCTTAAAATATGCAACTCTAAGAACACTTACAATTATTATTGCTCATACAGACAAAAATAATTTGGTTTTATTTTAATTATTCTAGAAAAAATGAGCCTAATCTAAGAGGCTTTCTCCATAAGGGCTTGGCAGAGTCCACAGTACTTACAATCCACAGTCACAGGCTGCCAGGCTCAGGACAGGAAGGGCCACTTCAGTCTCTTCTCCTGTTTCTGGGGCCTTCGTGGACGGAGGCTGACCACCTTCTAAGGACAGAATTACTGACAATCTGAGATGCTACATTAAAATGACTGGTCACAGTAAAGGCTAACAGCTGACCCCGTGGGGCACTGTGGGAGATGCATGTTGTTGGAGTAACTCAGATCATGAATCAAGAAAAACCCTTGGTCTTGTACATTATAAAGCACAAGGTTGGAAATACAACTCAGACCCTGTGTCATGAGCCTGCAAGGGAGGGAGATGGAGTTTGAAGGACAAACCTGCAGAAAGGGGGCATGAGGAAACGGCTTAGACTAACTGTGGGTTCCGAAAGTGGGCTCAAGATCCATTGTGTGTGCTAGTCGCTCAGCCGTGTCCGACTTTTTTCGACCCCAAGGACTGTAGCCCACCAGGCTCCTTGGTCCATGGGATTTCCAGGCAAGAATACTGGTGTGGGTTGCCATTCCCTTCTCCAGGGGATCTTTCCAACCCAGGAATCAAACCTGGGTCTCCTGCGTTGCAGGTGGATTCTTTACCATCTGAGCCACCAGGAGAAGCCCAAGATCCACTAGATAAGGGCAATTTCTGACCCACTTTAAGAAGAAATAGCTTAAAGCCATTAACTAATATACATGTTATATGTATCTCACACACTAAAAGAAAGAGCACAACTATGATAAACCTGAAGGGGAGCGGAGCAGAGAGACATCTGCTGCAACACGAAAGTGAATGGATGTGGGTACCCATGGCAGAGAGCCTGCAGCCCAATTAAACAGTAAAACCAACAGCTTTCCCAGCACGTTGGCGCCTCCTGTGGTGGTGGCAGATATTCAAGTACCTGACCAGGGGGACGGGTGGAGGGTGACAAGCAGGAGGAGGGGCCGGGCCAGCCAAGCAGACTCAGCTGAGGACCCCGGGCTCCTGGGTGCCCTGCTGTGACACCACCCATGGAAGCCAGGAAGCCCAGGAGGTGGGAGGGACAGGAGACCTCTGTGCAGCAAAACAAGCCTGCACCACCCCGGCCCCGTCTGCTCCCCACGCCTGCCTGGTTCCAGGTCCCCGGCTTCCCCTCTCTCCCCACCCCTGTTCAAGGGGGCTGTGGGCATGAACCCCATGAGAGGGTCTGCAGGGCATCACCTGGCCATGTACCTGGCTTGGACTCTGCCCTCCTAGTGGAGAAACTCTCTCTCTTTTTCCTGAGGTCAACATGCGTCACACAGCGGTAATGGTGCCCCTCAACCAAACTGAAGATCCAAAGCTGGAAAAGCAAAACACATCTAGATAGGCGAGAACACATCTAGAAACACAGGAACAGGTCTAGACACGCAGTAACACGTCTAGACAGGCGGGAGCACATCTAGACGCACGGGAACAGGTCTAGACAGGCGGGAACACATCTAGACAAGTGGAAACATGTCTAGACAGGCAGGAACACATCTAGACTCACAGGAATATGTCTAGACACGCAGGAACATGTCTAGACAGGCGGGAACACATCTAGACACACAGGAACACGTCTAGACAGGCAGGAACACATCTAGACTCACAGGAACATGTCTAGACGTGAGACTCTCACCAGATATGATGGTGAAGAGCAGGCGGTCAGTGAGAAGAGTGAGCAGGGAGCTGACGGGATGAGAGGCGGCCCTTCAGAGGCCCCTAGCTCTTCCTTTCTGACCTCCATACCCTCCCCATCCCCTGACCTGGGAGGCGTCTTCCTAAGGGCGCAGAAGTGGGTGACATGACCCAGAGGTCACATGTCTGACACATGGCATGGACGGAGAACAGGTGTGCTCCTGTGCCCAGCACTGCACGCCCGGCCTCTCCAAACACAGCATCGCGGGCACAGCTGACATGTCCCTGCAGACAGCTCAAACAGGTGATGGTGGCTGTCCTGCTGTATCTCACTGTTCACTGAACCCAAGACAGGCAAGGTGTGAGCTTTCTGGGAGAATTCTCAAGGCATCACAGGAACTGTAAACACATTTGTTCTCTCTGGACTGATGCAGCGGCCATAATGCAGCCTCAAGGGCTTTCCAGACGGACCTTACATGTGCTTACATGACAGAGGTGGCCCACGGCCAAGCGGGTACTTGGTGACGTGCATGCACAGTGCTGCAAGCGAGCTCGGCTGTTACATAATCATTATTTACAACACATGGGGTGAGAGAGCCTGACCACTGCCATCTTGGGTAATTTTGCTCTTTCCCTTAGGAGTCATCTTTGTCAGAAATGAAACAACTATCTCAGTTGATGCAGTAATGTAACAAGAAGCAGATATTTGATCTTGGACCCCGCCTGGCCCAAGTGCAGAGCTCCTAAAACCCTGGGGGTTTCCTGATCACGGAGGGACTACGGGGCTGCTGTCAGGTTGATGAGTGACGTTTGGAAAGCCCTCAGTTTGCTTAAGGATGGGGGCTGGTTGCCAGGGAAACAACCCCTGACCTCTGGGGAGTGGGGCTAGATGGGCTTCCATCACCCACAGCCAAGGATCAAATCAACAGTGCCTAAGCAACGAGGCTTCCATAAAAATCCCCGAAGTGCAGGTTCAGGAGCTCCAGGCGGGTGAAAACACCTCCCTGGGGAGCGGAGCCCCCTCCCCACATCTTGGGAACTGAAGCTCCTGTGCTGAGGCCCTCCCGACCTCACCCCTGCTGCTCTTCATCTGGCCGCTCACCTGTGTTAACAGAACCGAGGGAGGAAGGGGTTGTGGGAACCTCCAGTTTGCACCTCAGTCAGACTAAAGCGGTGGGTGACCTGGAGACCCACTCCCTGGGACTGGTGGGGCGTGGAGAGGATGCAGGATCGAGGGCTAAGCCCCTGACTGCCTCCAGGCAGATGGTGCCAGACCAGGTCAAGGCAGGACCCTGCTGGGGTCGTGGTAAGACGTTACTGTTGGGGGGGCCCCCACACCTGGGGATGGAGCACCAGTAGAGCTCATGTGAAAGCAGAGGCACACAGCGGAGGCCGGGTGACGGCCTAACACGGCGTCCTCCCGGATCACGCCAGCATCCACTCTCTTTACACGCTGTTTGGTTGCTGAGGCCGCACTGGGTCTCCAGTGCCCCGTGGGCTTTTCTCTGGTTGTGGAGAACACGCGCTGCTCTCCTGCTGTGCTGTGCGGGGGGGGGGGAAGGGGGGGTTCCTCACTGGGAGTGTCTCTATTTATGGAGAACACGCGCTGCTCTCTAGCTGTTATGTGCGGAGTTCTCACTGCAGTACCTTCTCCTGTTTCGAAGGACAATCTCAAGGGTGCATAGGCTTCAGGACTTGCCCCCATGGGCTCAGTAGTTGCAGTTCCCGGGCTCTAGAGCACAGGCTCAGTAGTTTTGACTCATGGGTTTAGCTGCTCCGTGGCATGTGGGATCTTCCCGGATCAGGGATCAAACCTGCGTCCCCTGCATTGCCAGGCAGATTTTTTACCATGGAGCTACCAGGGAAGTCCAACAGCCATTTTTAAAAAGAGAACAGTATCCATAGTTTGCAAAGCCAACTTCAATTGCTCACCTAAAAACTAAGTTTTAAAAAAGACCAAATACCTTCAAATCTCTCAAAAGGTATAAAGCTGACACTAAGGGCTGTACCAGCCTTTACAGAAGGTCTCATTTCCTGCAGGCAGGCCACCAGGCACCAGCAGGTCTGGCCTCAGCCACGGATAAAAGCAGCCTTGAAAGAGACGTCTTTGCGCACACGTCCACCCGTCACAATAATGTCTGAAAGCTAGAGTTGCACAGTGGCTCTCACCTGGCCGTCCGTGCACCCGGCCACCAGCTGCTGACTCCACGGGTCCACGAGGAGACTCAGGAGCGGGGAGGCTGCGGAAGGGAGCACAGAGCCCTTAGCTCGGACGCCTGCCGGCCCTGCTCAGCACTGAGCCCACCCGTGTGATCACACTCTGGGGTCACGGGCACCAGGAAGAGCGTGGGGAAAGAGCACAGCCACCCAAAAGGGCTCAGGAGCGGTACACAGCCCACCCAGGCCGGCCTCTCACTCCTAGCCACAGCCACTGGCTTTGTCGGCAGAGGCCGCAGCGCTGCGCCTTGCTTCCATGCAACAGCGGAGGCGGACAGCACTTTTCTTAGGGCCACCAACATGATTTCCCAATTTTCTGAGACAGAGAGGCTCTGACTCCAAGCATATGCTTAATTTTAAGTTGAAAGTTTCAAAAAGATTAACTGTTATGTGAATTCTTTCAACATGTGGATAGACAGTAGATGGGTGTGAAACACTCTCCATGAGTGACACTGAGACCCTACGGACGGTGCAGCTCTGGCTTCAAGATTAACATGTGAACTAGGACAGACTGTGTGCACATAGCCTACAGACAGAAAACACGTTCCAAGTTACCTGTTAACACTGATGAGCTGTGTATCAATGATCCCACACGATGGTCCCAAACCTTTGGACAGACACACATTTTTCAGAAGAAGCACAAGTATCACCATTGTTGTCACAGCTCAAGCTAATACTTCTACCCCACTACCAATTAATTCACGTGAACGGTTATCTAAGGGAGAACATAATAAGGACATAAATCACAAAACTATAGAAACACAATAGAAGATAGCAGAATCATACAGCAAATAAACAGTTCCAGAAATATCAACCTATGGGTCTGGAAGACGCAGACAAGACAAGGTTGGGAACATTTCCAGCACTTCAGCAACATTGCAAGATGAGGTGGGAAGACTGGAAAGGACCGGTTACGTGGAGACGGGCTCAGCAGCTCCAACCCTCGCACACCCTGCAGGCGAGGTCGCCAACACCTCGCCTCACGGAGAAGCGAGCCCTCTGCAGCGGGGAGCCGGGGCTCCAGCCCCGACCGCTGCCTCAGAGCAGGGAGGGGACCTTTGCCAAGTCAGTGGCAGAAACTCCAAGGGGACGAGAGAAGCATTTACAGTCTCCTCCTCTGTCTGCAGACGCCTGCTACCCACCCTCAGTTCCCTTCAGTCACAACACACAACGTCCTCACGTCTCAGCCAGGTGACGACCGTGATGAACAGCCTGGGAGGTGGATGGGACCTGAGCTTGCATGCCCAATTGAGTTCTGACTGAATCTTCTGCTACTGGAAAGAGGCCCCAGGGAACACCATGGAGGTGAGTTAAGGTGCCAGTCCCCGCAAGGCCCCAGTTTCAGAAGGAGGGTCCCACATCAGATAGCGCCCCCTGGAACGCAGGGTCAGCACAGGGTGCTGTGGGCCCCGGCTCCCCACACCTGCTTGGTGACAGGCCAAAACGTCAGACTCAGGTTGAGGGCAGTCATCCCTCGGACGTTTCACGTGTGGCAGCGGCCAGGAACCAGAAGCACAGCGCAAAGCGTCCACATGCCCCGACAGCCTGACACCCGCCCCGTACCTTGAAGCTTCTGTCCTCAGACGCCGAGATGAGGATGTGTGTCTGCTGAGCGCAAAACTCGGCCGCTGTCACTGGGCCGTGATGACCATCCAGCTCAGCCAGCGTGGATCGGCTCTGGGGGTTGGTGAAGGAAGGTCAGTCATTATTGTTATTAAGAAGTTATATGAATCTCACAGAAAACAGTTTCTACATAATCCCATTGCCCAAATGTGAAACTTCCTGCATATAAACCTGGAAGGTAAAACTCAGACGCCCAGCCAAGATGGAGCCTGGGCAGCCCCGGGCCGACACCCTCACAGAAGCTGCCCAATGAGACGCTCTGGCGAGAAGTGGTGGAAAGGGTCCATGCCTGGGGGCCTGTGGCCATGGGGCTGGGATCTCACCTCAAGGTCCAGCATGAGTACTCTGTTCCCTGCACACACTGCCACCACTCGATCGTCGGGACTAAGCCTCAGACACAGCACCCTTCCCAGGAGGGCGCCGAGAACAGTCCCCCGTGGAAGTCGCCCTGCAGGGAGTTTGGTCATCTGTGTCTGCCTGTCAAGGCCACTCAGTGACGCCTGCAACGACCTCTGGGAAATGCTGACAGCAAAACCCTCTGCTCTAGGACTGTGTGCAGAAAAGTATGAGCTTTGGTCTGATTTTGGCTCTTCAAGAGAATTAAAAACATGGAAAGTTCTTCTGGAAATACACGGAACCCAGGGACGGGCCACAGGGAAGTGACTCCACGTCAGGAAGGATAATGTGTCTTGGGGAACCACCCACGCACACACCCTGGGCGAGTCGTGGGTCCCAATCCTCCCTCCTCCTCCCTGAGGCCACCCTGGCTCCAGACCAAGCCAATGACCGGCCATGGCCTGTGTCAAGCAGGCAGAAGGGATGCTGTGCCCATCTAAGCCTCAGCCTCCAGCCCAGAGCCTCTCCACTGCCAAGAAGAGGTGTATCAGGCCAGCCTGCAAGCCCCACAGTGATGCTGCAAGCCAGCCTGCAGCCTTACCTTCAAGTGAGGTCACTGGGCCAGCCTGCCACTGGGCCGCAAAGGCTCAAGGCCCACCGCAGTCTGGCCCAGAGACTGGAGCCGCCTGTCAGGACAGGAGCCCACAGAAAGGAAACGTGCACCTCCCACTCACAGTTCCGTTCTGAGGGCACCACGTGGATCCGCCGCGTTGTGCTCAGCAGGTGCCCGCACCTCCCAGGCACCCTCAGGCCTAGGACACATCCAGGAGCCAGACAGAGAAACCCCGCCTCTGGGGAACTCCTACAGGGTGGGCAGGCAGGAGGCATTTAGATGCCGGTAAGCAAAACAAATAAACCAGCTCCCCATTTGTTCCACTGATCAATGTGTCTGCTTCTGTGCTAGCGCCACGCTGCTTTGAAGACTGTAGCTCTGCGGCACAGTCTGAAGTCAGGGAGCCTGATTCCTCCAGCTCCGTCCTTATTTCTCAAGGTTTTCTCCGTATCTCTTGTTGTTTCCATACAAATTTTTAAATTATTTGTTCTAGTTCTGGGACCCACCCAACTCTTTGACTTCACCTGATAAAAGTCTCCTAACATCACTGAGCTCCAACCACATGGGCTGGTTCTCAGCTCTTCAATCAGCGGCTCCTGCTCTGACCCTCCTCCTCTGGCCCAAACACCGCCCCTGCAGAACCCGCAGCCCTGAGCAGGTCCTGCCGCATTCCCTGCCCGCACTGAGGTTCCTTTCCCTACTCACTGCCCACAGCTGTCTGCTGGTTCACACGTTCCAGTCTGTCTCCCACGCTAAGCTGTAGATTCACTACTGTCTCAGCAAGGGAAGAATATTTCAACTTGTTAAGCTGCTTTCAGAGTTCCACAAAAATCACCAATTTCAGAAGCAGACAGTCTTAAGATGAAAACTAATGAAACTATGGTGTCAGCCAAGGTCAGCAGTTCTGAGTGACCTTTTCTACTTCCCACATACAACATCCAGCTTAGACACCAAGTTTCAAGGTTAAAGGCATCAAAAATGATCCCAAAACACCTTGTGTCACCAAGTGCATTTAAAACGAGTCATTCCCTTTGTGCATTTTAAATGTGTTTAAAGCCCCGTCACCTTGAAGCTCTTCCTGTCTGCACTCATCCAGGCCCCACATCATGACACAATCTCGTGATGCAGAACAGACCAGAAGCGGGCTCTCTCTGCTCCCAAATGTCACGGCAGTGATGGGCTGACGGTGTCCTTTTAGGATCATCAGCTGAAGAGAGTAACAAAAAACAAAAAGACCATAGACTATAGAAAACATTTTTTTAAATAAAAAAGAATATAACATAGCCTCAATCCTAAGAAATTAAACGGATTGAGTTCTTCAAACATGTATTTCATATATTCATTTCTACTTCATCTATGTAAATCACTGCTCATGTACCATTCAATTACTCTCTTGGGTTAAGTATTTCCCTGTTACTCAGCATCACTAATGGCACACAAATCAAATGATTGCCTCTTCCTTCTGTTTCTTCCCTACTTATTAATTAGCCATGCACACGGCATCCCCACTCCAGGCCAGAGGGGCGACAGCTGTGCTAAATACTGAAGGATAAGGACAGTACCAAGGATTTGGCAAGAGGAGCTGAGAAAGCAACGCGTGTTTACGGAACAGCTGGTAGGAACAAAGCAAGAAGGTGGAGCTGGAGAGAGTCTAGGCCACGTACTAACGCTCTGACCACCACGTAGGGTGCTAGGACAGAGCTACAGAAAACCACAGGCCAGCACGATGCATGTAGAAGAATGCAGTGACAGACCTGGCTTTTCAGGAACACACATTTCTGAAGGTTCAGAAGAGAGCCGAGGGTGGGGGCTCAGAGGAAACCAAAACGCTCCAAAGGAGACAGGACAGAGGCCTGAGCCGAGCAGGCAGAGTGGGGGGAGGGAGGGGGCGGCCGGCGGACTGAAGGGACGAGGAGAAGACAAGAGGCAGTCGGCAGTGTGCCGAGACCCCGTGCGGGCGCAGCTCAAGGAGAGAGGACACACGCGGGGCGGGCCGCTGGAGATCACCCCAGCAGGCAGAGGTTTTCTCAAACCAGCCTTGGGTGGACAGCATGCCTCCTGCCGTGAGAGCGCTGCCCCCAGCGGGAGGCCCAGCAGAGTCCCTCCTGCGCCCGTGGCAGGTGGGTTCATCTGCACCAACCTTCCCATGAGAAGGACAAGATAAAAAAGACACACTTCGCTAAAAAAAAAAGAAAAGAAAACATTTTCTCAGACATCAGAGAATAATGAAGGCAACGAAGAATTCAGATCAGAGAAGAAGGCTGAGAGGAAGGATCCCAGCACCAAGGCTGCCTCTCCGGTGAAGACAACTACGCTCCTGACTAATCCAGTGAAGCACTTGAGAAGCAAGGTATTTATGGGGCTGGGGCACAAAAATGGTGCAACTAAATGCAGTACTGTCTGGGCATAAATGGAACAGTCTTACTGGGAGAAGAGCAAAGAATCCCATCCTGCTACAAAGAGCTTCTGAGAATAGACTCAAAAGCCAGAAGGCTGACACTCTGCACTTCTTCCCCTAAAATGCAATGGGTGGACTTTAACAAATTCCTGCTTTAAAAAGGAAATACAGCCTACCAAGGTGGGAGGGAGGGGCATGTTGCCAATTCTACCAAATGTCTTTCAGAAAACAGAAGAAAAATTAGAGGAAACACTTCTTTTCAGAAGAAACAGAAGGACTACATCCTTGCTCATACTCTGAAGTCAGCATTACCTGGATACCAAAACCACACAAAGTCATGTCAAGAGAAGAAAACCACAGATCAGTATCTCTCATGAACAGAGATGCAAAAATCCTCACCAAATATTTAAAATATTCCCAAAGCAAACCAAACAATGTATGTATAAAAGGAATTATAACCATGGCCACGTGGGGTTTATTCCATGTACACAAGGTTGGAAAATAATAAAACTCTGTGGAAAGAAATAAATGAAGAACTAAATTAACGGAGAGATACTCGATGTTCATGAAGACTCAATGTTATTAACATGTCAATTGTTCCCAGCTTGATCTATAGCTTCAGTATAATCCAAATGAAATCACCAAACTTACTCTGAAGTTTATCTTGGTGGGGGCAAAAGACACAACAGCCACATAATATTGTAAAATAACACAGGTGGAGGACTGACCTACCTGAGTTCAAGGCTTACTCTAAAGCTCCACTCACTGATCAAGACTGTACGACGCTGGCAAAAGAAAGGATCACTGGGAGAGAAGAAAGAGCCAGAAATAGTCAGCAGACCATTCATAAAGAAACAAAGGCAATACAGTGGGAAAAACCATATACTTCCAAAAGGCAACATAGACAAACTCTAGATGACTTGAGTTTGGCAATGATTTTTTAGATAAGACATGAAAGACATGACCCATGAAAGTAAGAATTGATAAGCTGGACTTCATTAACATTAAAATTTTCTGCTTCACGAAAGACACTATCAAGAGAATAAAAAGAAAAACCACAGGCTGGGAGAAAATATTTGTAAAAGACATATCTGATGAAGGACTGTTATCCAAAATACACAAAGACTTTTTAAGACACAAGAAAATAAACCACTCAATTAAAAATGGACAAAAGACCTTAACAGACACCTCACCAAAGAAGATACGCAGGTGGCAAGTATGGAATCTAAGTCGTCAGGGAAATTCAAATTAAACAGCAATAAGATACTACTGCACATTTGTCAAAATGGCTAAAATCCAGAATAGACAATACCAAATGCTGGCAAGGACGTGCAGCAAGAGGAACTCTCATCCTTTGCTAGGGCCACTTTCTTACAAAGTGAAACATACTCTCATCATATAACTCAGCAATCCTGCTTCTTCGTATTTACCAAAGGAGTTGGCTTCCCTCATAGCTCAGTTGGTAAAGAATCTGCCTGCAATTCAGGAGACCCCAGATTGATTCGTAGGTCGGGAAGATCTGCAGAAGGGATAGGCTACCTACTCCAGTATTCTTGGGCTTCCCTTGTGGCTCAACTGGTAAAGAATCTGACTGCAATGCAGGAGACCTGGGTTCTATCCCTGGGTTGGGAAGATCCTCTGGAGAAGGGAAAGGCTACCCATTCCAGTACTCTGGCCTGGAGAATTCCATGAACTATACAGTCCATGGAGTCACAAAGAGTCAGACATGACTGAGCGACTTTCACTTCACTTCACAAAAATTGATGTTTACCACAGTTTTATTCAAATTGCAAAAACTTGAAAGCAACTTCAGTAGGTGAATGAAGAAATAAATTCTGGCCCATCCAGACAAGAAAATATTCTGCACTGGAAAGAAATCAGCTATCGAGCCAAGAAAAGACATGGTGAAAACTTCAATGCAAATGACTAGTGAAAGAAGTCAATCTGAAAAGGCTACATACTGTATGATTCCAACATACAGCATTCTGGAGAAGACAAAACTAGGGAGACGGTGAAAGATCGGTGGCTGCCAGGGTGAGGGGGTCAGGGGGAGGAACGAGCAGGCAGAGCCCAGAGGACTTTCAGCAGGGAAAGGAGTCTGTGAGATGCTATGATGGTGAGTACATGTCACGGGACACCTGTCCAAACCCATAGAGTGCACATATCAACTCTACGGCAAACTATGGGCTTCAGATAAAAACAACATCAACACAGGCTCATCACCTGTAACAGATGCACCATGGAGGGGTGCTGACCTGGGGGAGGAAATGCATGTTTGGGGGCAAAGAGATAAAGGAAATCTCTACTTTCCCCTCAATTTCGCTGCAGACCTAAAACTGCTCTTAAAAAATAATAGTCTTAAAATACAAAAAAAAAAAAAAAGTAAAAAGAAAAGTGTACCAAAATTCCAGAGTAAGAAATATTAACAGGGACAGAGCACGTCCTGCCATGTTAATGGAGTCACATCATCAAGAAGATATAAAGATACCAAACATTTACTGCTTAACAGTGCTTCAAAACACATGGAGCAGAACTGACGGGAGAGAAACAGACAAGCACACTTTTGGTCACAGACTCCAGGATGCCTCAATAACTGACAGAACAGGTGGTCATAAAGAGAGAACCAAAAGAACACACTGTCAACCAACTTGACCTAACTGATACCTAACTGACATTTATAAAATAAAAGACACACATACATTTACAGCAACTTCCTTTATAATAGACAAAGTTATATTGTTTGTTATAGAATAGCCTCAGCGTGCATCAACAGGAGAATGGACAAAAACAGATTACAGTATATCCACATGGTGGAATACTACTCAGTAACGATGGGGAATACATGTAAATCCATGGCTAATTCATATCAATGTATAACAAAAACTACTGTAATGATGTAAAGTAATTAGCCTCCAACTAATAAAAATTAACATGGCATTTCAGAATCAGTGGGGAAAGATGTTATTCTACAAATGGTGTTGGGGGACTGGGGGACTGATTAATAATACTTTTTTAAAAACTGATTCCCTGCCTTATTCCTTATTTTACAATAAATTCTGTTGGATCAAAGTTTAAGCAAAAAAAAAAAAAAAACCAAAAAAAGAATTGTTGACACATGCAGCAATGTGCATAAATCTCAGAACAATTACTCTGAGTGAAAGAAGTCAGATGAAAAGAGTTAAAACTGACTGATTCTATTTACATAAAACTCTAGAAAATGCAAAGTAAAATAAAGCTTATATTAGAATACATAAAAAACTCTTTAAATCAATCAGACAGATAATTGAGCAGGAAAAAAAATGGCAAGAGACTGAACACATGTGTCACAAAAGAGAATGGCCAGATGAGCACATCCACAACACATGTGCTCCAAGGGTGTTAGACTCACTGATCGTCAGGGAGCTCCAAATCATAATTAAACACCAGTGCAACCACAAGGAGGGACAAAGTTAAAGGACCAAGTGTGGGTGAGGGTGTGGGTCAACTGCAAGTCTCATCCCCCATGTGAAGAACAGGTCGGAACAATCACTTAGAAATCTTGGCATTAACTTTTAGACTGAATATATGCACTCCTTAAGATTCAGAAATTGTATACACATGTGTATCAAAAGATACATAAAAGAATGTTTGCAGCAATCAAATATGGAAACAAACCAAATCTCCAACAATAGTAGAACAACAAAGTGTGGTCTAGCCACAAAACACCACTGCACAGTAATGAAAATGAACATGGATGAATCTCATAAACTTGGTGAATCAAAGAAAGCAGCAAAAAAGAATGCGTTAATGCATCACACCATTTATCCTAAGCTCAAACATTAGCAAAACTCACCTGATGTCTTTAAAACTCTATCAGTTTGATGTTAAAGACTTGGCAACAAACACAATAAACTCCCTTAAATGCAGTATTACAAATATGCAAATTTAAAATTAAAAAATTAAGTGAAGTCATTCAGTCGTGTTTGACTCTTTGTGACCCTATGGACTGTAGCCTGCCAGGCTCCTCTGTCCACGGGATTCTCCAGGCAAAAATGCTGGAGTGGGTTGCCATTTCTTTCTCCAGGGGATCTTCCTGACCCAGGAATCGAACCCGGGTCTCCCGCACTGCAGGCAGACTCCTTACCCTCTGAACCACCAGGGAAGTGGTGGAAGTTTATTTAAAAAAATAAAAAATTTTTAAAAATCTAAAAATCCAAAAGTTCGACTTGTCTTGATACTGTTAAGATGAACTGTTCCTTGCTTATACTCTTATTCAAGAAGAAATTTTAAGTAATTTAAATTTATTTTTAAATAAAGTGATTCCAGACAGTTTATTTCCTAAAAACCAAATCTTAGTAGGTTCTGTCTTGTTAGCATTTTCCTCCCGGAGCTGGTAGTTGAATCCACAAAGGGCAAAACCATGCCAGCAGCGTCAGAGAAACAGAGCAGCAATGCAAGCCTCTGTGACGTGACAAGACACACGTGTAACTTTCACACCTGCTGAGGAGGGTCCTTGGTGTCCCATATGCAAAGTCTGTTTCCATCTAAAGGGAAAGCACAGGACCGCCCACTGCAGGCGAGCTGAACGTGGGGTGCAGGCTTCATGGAATCCACCAGGAACTTTTCCACCACGATGTCACCCACATGGCCATCACTCCTGGAGAAAATCTCTTGTGGTTCTTCCATCTTCCACCTGGAGCCCCAAGAACATATGAATGACCATGGGCACGATGCTTAATGAAGACCACAGTCCGCTGTTTATGCCCAATTACCAGTACGATCATACACACACACACACATCACACCTCCTGACTCAGCTCCACTCTTCTCCCCCAAGAAAGAGAAAACAGAAGTCATGACCTCTCCAGAGGTTCCCTGCCATGACTGCTCATTGATCCCACAGGTTTTCAAGTCATGCAGACCTGGGCTCTAGTCCTGTGGCTCCCACTGAGCAGACCCACCGAGACGCAGGGTGTCTGCAGCCCCCGCTGGTAACAGAGGGAATGCCACCCTCGCAGAGGCCTGGTAATCACCAGCCCCGAGCCGCACCTCCAGATCACGGCCAGAGTTGACAGCTGATACCAACGATGAGGATACAAAGTCACCTCCTACACTGGTCGGTGGAAAACTACAAAATACATTGCTATCTACTGCTCATCTGAGATCCAGTCAACTATTCTACAACATTCTGTCATCCGAGTTGACTATCTCAGATAACGTAACCACTGGTTCACTGGTCATGTCTTAGAAACCACAAATCAACAAGACATGGGCAGAAACAGAAAGCTTCAGGCCCTGTCCCACCTCACAGTTAACAATTCCCTGTCACCAGCTTACACACGAGGCAGCAGCTCCAGGTTACCCAGCTTCCACTCTGCCTCACAAGCCATCAAAGGCTTCCGGTGCGCCTGAAACTTAGGGACACAACCACTGACAAAGCCAAGAGCAAGGGCCTGACTGCCCGACACCAGGCTTGGTTGTGTGGACTCAGAGACCCCAGGCCTATGGCCACCAGGCTTGGTCGTGTGGACTCAGAGATCCCAGGCCTGTGGCCACCAGGCTGGTGGGATGGACTCAGAGATCCCAGGCCTGTGGCCACCAGGCTGGTGGGATGGACTCAGAGACCCCAGGCCTGTGGCCACCAGGCTGGTCGGATGGACTCAGAGACCCCAGGCCTGTGGCCACCAGGCTGGTCGGATGGACTCAGAGAACCCAGCCCTGTGGCCACCAGGCTGGTCGCTGTGGACTCAGCCTGGATAGGCCTCATGGGGAAGTAGCAGCTAGGGCAGAAGAGGACTACGAGGGCAGTGACCAGCAGAGACAGGGAGGGAGCAGGAGGTGGGAAGCTGATGCTCTTGAGGGCGGTGGTGGCATGGTGGCCACTGAACTTCCATGGAGCAGGGTCATCCTGACGCTCAGATGACCCTGGGGCACTTCTGGTGGTTGCTAAACAAAGAAGCGAGGCAAGAAGGGTTGGCATTCAGGAGACGCAGGGTCACCTGGCAGCAGCATGTGAGGGTGAGTCAAGAGCGGCCAGGAGGAGAGACGGGCTGACCCCAAGTCCAGACGGGGTCTGGCCTAGAGAGCCTGGATGGCAGCCCTGTGAGTGCAACAGGTCAGCAGCACACAGTCCACGTGCCCCCCTCCGTGAAGCCCTTTCTGCCCCAGCCCACTTCTCACTGCTACACGGCTGTTGTCCTAGCTTCCAGGCGCAAAGCCTAAGTGAATGCTAACCCTCCCTGTCTCTGCCCTTACGGCCAGCCCACGGCCGGCCCTTTATTTCTCCATGGGGACTTTCAGATTTGCCCCCAGACTGGTGTGGGGCTGGTGGCCAGTGGAGGGCCATGACAACCCTAAACTGTAATCTGCCGTGGGTGGACGCCTGCTGGATTGTCAGCCAAAGCTGCAAGGGTTCTCTTTGAGCGACAGAATCCCATGAGAACGCGGGTGCTGCGCCGGGGTACAGACGCCCTTTGTAGGAGGAACAGGACATGGTCTGGGCCGCGGGGCCCCAGCACTGGGGCCTGTTCCCTCTGTCTCGGACTTGGTGAGGTTTCCCTTCGTCTCAGCAGCCGTAATGGACTGAGACATGCAGTGTGCAGGGTTCCACGCCAAGGCCTGCAGGCCCACCTGCAGCTCAGGAGGCAGGTGAGGGCAGAGTGGGACAGGGGGTGAAGGCACCTGGGAGCCGGGCTCCAGGGCGAGGACCAGGGCAGCCCAGCCACACACCCTCCCCACCAGCATTTCAGGCAACTGGGGTCCTGCTCTGCCCACTGTCACAGCAAGACGGCAGCTCTTCTCATCTGCCTTTCAGAGGGGCGGAATCTGAGCTCCAGACAAAGTTTCTCCGACCCTGGGTGACATCAGGACTGCACACATCAGAGCAGGAAATACTCTCCTAGAGGCATATTCATTTCCTCTTGGATGAGGAACCAGCATGGTGGCTACTGCCTACAAGTCAGATATTCTGCCTGGAAGAACCCCGCCAGCACTGGATCAAAACAGAACAGTTCTTACATGAACCTGTAAGGTAAACACAATTAAAATGGGACAAATGTTCAGGTGAAAACTATCCTCATTTAACTTTTCTGTTAGCAAATTAAAACAATCAAATAAAAGTTTCCTAGAAAATGGATTTTTCTCAACCATCTCTAGAACAATCCAGCTGGCAGGAATATCTTTATTTTCCAGAGGTTGTATCAACCAAAGAACACATGAGAGAAAACTACACACACACACACACACACACACACACACACACACGCACGCGCACATGCACACATGCACGCATGCACAGATGCAGAGCTAGTGTAAGCTGCACAGCCACACATCCCAGGAGAGGCCTGTCCTCAGGATGGGCCCAGGGCGGCTCCTGGGAGACACGCTGGACAGGAGCGAGTCTGCAATCTGTGACGTCTGACTGAAGAAGCTCCCCTTGAGGTGGTTTCCAGCAAAGCCGCTCCCCCAGGGCGGCCTCAGGAGCTGAGGCGGTCAGGGGAATGGTGTGCGCCTGCACGGCTGACCGCAGTCACCCTGGACTCCAGGCCCAGCAGGCATCCTTGGTCTCACAGTAGCTGGGAGAACTAGTCCACCTGACTTCCCCGGGGGTGGCGGGGGGGAGAGGATGCCCCGAGCACCTGCTCTGGACCCGCCCATTCACGTCTGCCCACCGTCCTTTCACGGGGAGAAACCCGAGCACAGCGTCTCCTCTGAGCAGAGCATGGCCTGGGACCTGCCTCAGAGCGCTTACTTAACACTGGACATACTCCTCACACCTGTTAGAACATCTGCCTTCCTGTTTCCGAGGCGTGGCACCTCCTGCTAGGTTTTCACCAAGCCCTGTCCACTTTCTCCCCAGAGCCACAGGAATGCCGCCAAACCACACTTCCCAGCTGCAGGGCGAAGCCACAGCCTGAGGTACAGGAGGCGCAGCACGGCTGGGAAGACCAAGGGGGGGGCGCTCGCGGAGGCTCACCTGGCCAGCAGCGCCGGGCCGCCTGCTGTGGGACCAGGAAATGGACCTCCACCGTGTGAAGCCCTGAAATGCGAGGCTACTGTGGCAGCTGCCCTGACGCCTGCAGAAGCCGGTGCCCGAGGGGGGACGGCGCTTAGTGACAGTGGCCGGCAGGGCACGGGGACAGAGTGAAGACTCATGGTCAGCAGTGGCTAAGCCTGTGGCCTTGGAGGAAATGATGGGGGTGTTTGTAGCCCACGCATAAAGTTGGCTTAAGCAAACAGACACGCGTGGAACAGAAAGTAACCAGAGGCCCGGGGACCCTGGGAGACAAACTGCAGCCCCCCGCTCCCCCAAAGCAGGGCCATCCAAGACTCCTTCCAGGGAAGGTCAGGTCGGGCACAGCCACCGTCCCTCCCAAGCCTTTTAGCTCCACAAACCCCAGGTCTAAGTCCCTCAGGTCCAAGACAGAGGAGCGAGCAAGTGCGTGGAAAGGAAAAGCAAGGCCGGGCTCGGTGGAGCTGGCGGCTGGCCCGCGGAAGGCACACAGACAGGAGCCCAGGCACTCCTGGGAGAGCCAAGAGGCCACAGACACGGCAGAGCGGGCACGACGACAGCCGGCTGCTTGGGGCTGCGTGTCTCTGGGCGCCCCCTCCTCACAGCTGCAGGAGGGGGACCGCGGCAGCCCCTCCTCACAGACCACTAGAGGTCACAGAGGGGAAGGTCTGAGGGGTGGGCCTAGGGCGCCACGCCCCCGGACAGCAGTGGGGTCCACCAGGAAGCTCTTCCCACACCCCAGCCCAATTCCAGCTCTGCTGGGACCCGGCTCCCTTAGGACGGGGAGCGGCTCTGGTGGCGAGCAGTTCCTGGTCGCGGGACCACGAGGAGCCACGCTGGGGCCCCACGGGAGAGCGGTGCATGCTGGGAGTGCTCTGTGTCCGGCTGTGCCGGGGGTGTGAGGGGCTCGCCTGTGCTTCCAGGACCGAATCGGAAGTCCGGCCACCAGAACGGAAGCAGCAACAGGGGCTGCCCGTTTCCCAAACCACTCCCTTCCCTTCTGGAAACTACACCGCTAACTTCCCTAGCAGCCAGGTGCCACCACAGGGCTGAGTTCTGGCGTGGAAGGAGCGGGGAGTCTAGGGCACAGTGAACCTAGGCCACTTAGGAGCCCAGAAAACCCTCCGCCGGAGTCTCTTCTCCCCGCACCCCTGGCTGGCTGGAGGGGCTTTGGGGGGCCTAGTGAGAAGGAGACTGTGAGACGGAAGGACCCATGGGCAGGAAACAGGTTGTCACCCATCAGGACCCTTTGCTCCTGCACGAGCCTATCCCTGACAGAAATCCTTTAACTTTTTTCATTTACACGAGCAATACAATGCAAAATATTTAAACAGCACAGAAATAATACAGTTGGCCTTTCCCCTCCCTATGCCACCTCCTTGCTGTGTCTTCCCAGAGATAATCAATCAGTTTGAGAGTCCCATACATGCATCACAGGAAAAGTCTGAGAAGACACACTGCAGTCAGCTTCTGATGCAGTTCCTGTGTATCTGAGGCTGCATAAGCAACTTTAAGAAAATGTGGTGACAAATGACCACTAAAGAGGCCATTGCTCTAAAGTCACGTCAGTAAACACAAAGCAGAAAGCAATCTCAGATGGGGGTAGGCTGTACATTCAAGCCCCTTTAGTTACACAAAAGAACACAAGCTGCACAAAATTAGAAAATCCATACAAGAGAAAAAAAACATAATTTTTCTCTACTTTTCAAGGGGCACCACTGTTAAAATCTGCATCTCCTCCTGTTTTTTTTTTCTTTTGTATAAATGTGTATATTTTTAGAGAAAGAAAATTACTCCTTTTTGATTATAAAAAGATTATAATCTTTCTCTTTTAATGACTAACCCATCCAGAAATGTGCCAATTTATTCTTGAGTTTGGAAAATACAGTGTGGTAATCAGACACTAGGTTGAGTGCCCACAGTAAAATGATAATATGGCACCATAATTAACAAACCCTTGATGGCTTGCTTAGTAGCTAAAGAAAATATAAAGCTCTCTGCATTCATCAGAATAGGAGACAGGTTCTAATTCTAGGTCCATGGAGAACAGAACTAGTAAAAGATGAAGTAATGGTTCATAAAGGTATGAAAGCACCAAATTATACTCTGGCCTCCCGGTGTCTTTAAGTCCTTTCCTAAGTTAATAAACTTAAAAGGTTATATTTAGCTGCTTTAATGAAAAAAAAAAAAAAGATATCTTCTTTCTATTGTCCCAGCTGAGAGAAGCCTGATTTTACAAACCATTGGTTCTTAAAACACAAATTTTGTACTTTTATGCCACAAAATGAAAGAGAACAAAAAATGTTGCTGCCGTATCAGTAAACTAAGGACTCTGTCGCCATCAAGCCATCACATCACAACCTCCCATCGGGGCACCCTGAGGAGATTCAGGAGGAGAAAGCACAGGATACTGGTGTGAGACAGCTGAGGTGCATACTAAAGGAATGATTTCAATAAGCCCAGATTCTTGCATCTTCTCATACATAGAAAAGTGCTAGATTCCTTGAATGGACATATCTGGTTTTCTTTGCTGTTGTTAATCAGTTGTCCAGTTATGTCCAACTCTTCGAAACCCCTGGTTTTAATTAACAGTAATCTTTTGATGTTCTGACTACCAGGTCTTTGTTACAAAATCTCCTATATATATCCTGGCTCCCCCCTTGCCTCTCCAAAGCCTCTCAGAGCCATCTGAGATACTGTGTTCCAGGCTTGAAGTCCTCAGAATATAACATAATCTCAGCTTTTAGGTTGTGCATTTTTTTCAGTCCATACCATGACTTGTTGCTGCTGCTACTGCTGCTAAGTCGCTTCAGTCGTGTCCGACTCTGTGCGACCCCATAGATGGCAGCTCACCAGGCTCCCCTGTCCCTGGGATTCTCCAGGCAAGAGTACTGGAGTGGGTTGCCATTTCTCCTTTCACTTGTTAGGCGAGCACAAACCACTGACTACCAATAACAGTAATGATGCTTAAGTTTTAAAGTCATTTCTTGATGCATCTCGAGGTATCTCTATACACTCCCCTGTATTCCAATCTGATATACTTTCTTGACCGGAAAATGTTAAACTTGGAAATGGCCCAGGTTGAGCGGAATGTCACAGGTACCAGATACTTCTTGCAGGAGGAGGTGTGGAGGTTCACAAGTGCTACCTGCGTCATCAACCCAAATCAGTGACTCCCCACTTGGATGCAACTTGCCCTAACTTCATGCAAATCAACGCCACTCCCCTCAGACAATCAGTCTTAAGTCTCTCAAGCCTCTTTTACACGCCTATAGGTGACATAGATGTAACACTTCAAAGCAGCAACAGACACATTTTTTAACCCAACACATGACAGTCTCCTCAGCAACCTGACCAACCCACACCGTGTAGCTACTTGGCAGAGTTCGGGTTCTACAAAAAAGGGCACAAGAGTCATTGCCTGCTTTTAATATTTACACTGCACCTGTTTCCACAAAAGTGACTCAACACGTTCTAAAATGAAACACGGGGACTGGGATCAACACAAAAGTATGATACTAAAATGAACATAATCTTTCTTGGGAAAGTATTTTTCAGTGGCCAATAGGCGCCCATTAACACCATATCCCAAGTTAACAAAATAAATCCTGAATATAAACAAAACAGCATTTTAAAGCCTCTCTTAGGAGTAGTTCATGAAGTAACACGCTTTTAAGAGAGCGCACCTGCGTCTCACCTGGGGCCCCTCAAACCTATCCCTGAGTCAGCCAAGTGGCCAAGTGTACTCACAATCCTGCTGACCACCAGGCAGTTTAGGGCCAGCGCCCCGCCCCCGTCGTCATGGTTACGAACCCTAGGCTGCGTCCTCACCCCTTCGCCATTCTCGCGATAACCCAGAGTCAACGCACTACCCCTATCCAGCCTCTGCCTCACTTCCGGGCGCAGGTCAAGTTCTAGCCTTCCTCACTTCCGAGCGCCGGCCAACTTCCGGGCACCGCCCTCCTCCGAAAGCCTCACTTCCGGGCGCGCCTCCCTTCCGGCTCCTCCGGCGCGGTGCCTGCGGGGAGAGGAGGTGAGTCCTGGGGCGGACACCCACCCCCGCCGCCCGCTCTGTGCGACCGCGGCGCGCTCCCCTCCTCTGCCCCTCCCGCCCCCGCGACCCCCCTCGAGGCGGCCGGGACGCGCTCAGCGGCCCCCGTGGTCTGTCTGCAGGACGCTCGCGGATGAGCACGGGCCCCGCCTGGGGCCCCCGCCATGGCCGCTCCGTGGAAGGGCGCGCTTCTGCTGCTCCTGGCGTTGCAGGCCGTCTCCTCGGCGCAGGCCTCGGACGAGGAGGAGGTGCCCGAGGGCTGGGTCCTCCTGCACGTTGTGCAGGGTCAGGTAGGAGCCGGGAACTACAGCTACCTGAGGTTAAACCACGAGGGGAAGATCGTCCTCAGGATGCGCAGCCTGCGGGGCGACGCGGACCTGTACGTGTCCGACAGCACCCTGCACCCCAGCTTCGACGAGTACGAGCTGCAGTCGGCCACGTGCGGCGCCGACGCCGTCTCCATCCCCGCGCACTTCCGGCGCCCTGTGGGGATCGGTGTCTACGGGCACCCGTCCCACCTCGAGAGCGAGTTCGAGATGAAGGTCTACTACGACGCGACGCTCGAGCCGCATCCATTCGGTGAGACCGCCTACTCGGACGGTACTGATGCGAGTCGCAAGCACGCCTATGCCCCGGAAGACGCGTCTCAAGAAGAGGAGTCTGTGCTTTGGACGATATTAATTAGTATTTTGAAGTTGGTACTTGAGATTCTTTTTTGACTCCCTTAACATACTCGAGTATAATACTTGTAACCTGCGAAGCTGAGTGCACTTCGCTGTGAACCTAGCTACTCTGACCTGGTTGGCATTCTGGTTACCTTTTCTGGGTGGGGGATGAAAGAATAAAGCCATACAGTTTAGTTACCTCAGTCACTCCAAAAGTACGCAAAGCAGCAAGCACGATATGTTTTCTTTTAATAAAGCATCAAAATTCCTGTAAAAGGAATATGCACAATAAAATGTTTAAACCCCACTTTGATTAGTTTGTCAGGTGGCTAGATGATTGCAGTGACTTAGGTTTTTACTCTAGAGACTCAAATAAATTAGTGTGTTAGTTTTAAAGAATTACTAAAAGCAAGTCTGAAATGTAATCATCTCTCCACACTTGCCTGACCATGAACTAAAGTCCCCTGTCTACACCCGAAGTAGAGACAGCACCTGCTGTCCAACAGGATTTCCTGGTAGGCGGGTGGTGTCGCCATGCCCGTTAATGATGGTTCTTAACTCAGCTGCGCCAGATCTCCTCAGGTGGTAGTTTTATCATCTTGGGCCCCTATGGAGATTCTTTCGTTATTAAATAACTGCTCTGCTACCCGTGGTAGACCAGAAAGGATACAGATTAGGAAAATTTCATTAAAATAATAGTAAATTTTAGGTTAATGGAATAATTTAAGCTGCATAATGTTACCACTGAATTTCTGGAGAAAGCCAAAGTACTAAGAAATAAAGACTTTGCAAGATGGAACTATTTTTCTACTTGGTTTCCACGGTGAGAGTGGCTTATAAATAAATTTGCAGATTTTAAGCAAGTAATTTCAAAATCTTTTATTGGCATAAAAATGAGAATGTTGTAAATAAATTGGCACCAAATACTTCATTTAAATGCATATTACAGTACTGGGGTCAAAAAAACTATCCCTCTTTGCTGTTTTTCCCCCTTCTGCCCACTTTCCTGGGTGTTGGGGGTGCTCGCTGACAACAGTCACAAATCCAGCGACCTAGGAGAAAAATTGTTAGTTAATACAGGATGAGACTTAACTTTCAAGGACTGAGTTTTAAAACCATTTAGCTCTCCTCCCTTAGCTAAGGCTACTGATAATCCTCAACTGGATTTCTGGTGGCACAGGCACTAACTTCCCTTAAGGTCATCAGTGTCATAAATGCCCTGTGAAATGCACAGGGGGAGGGAAGGGGTCATGGAAGAGCTAAATAAAGACAGGCCCCTTGAAAAAATTATAATCCTTTCTGAAATTCAAATACTACAAGTTCAATCATACAAATCCTTATATAAAACCTATTAACTGACTTTGGCTTATTTTTAGGCATCTCAGCATCCCCTCAAGTCCTGATGTACTATGCTCACATAGCACTTTAAAATGTATCAAGTATTTGATAGCATTATGATAAACTATACCACATACTTGACCTGAATACTATAGAATTCTAAATAATTATTTGTTGCTTACATCTCAATGATTCCCAGGAAACCTAGGCATATATTTTATAAAGTATCAGACAGTGTTAACTATGCAAATCAGTTCTGAAATTACACAATTATGTGGATAATGTTTTAGTCAAATTACTGCAATTTATTCTTTGATTCTGTGTTCATTCTGAAGTTATCTGAATTATGTTGCCTCAATTTACAAAAATCTGGTTTAATATGTATAAAGGCATATAAGTCATTTTGTTAAATTTCTAAATGACATATAAAAATAAAGGCTTTGAAACAAATCGATGCTACTGCCTTAGCTGTTTCAGTAGAACAACACTAGCTCATCTGCATACACTGGGCTCTACTTCCAGAACTTACAGGCAATCTGATATCTCACTTGTCCTTTAGTCAGCTTGTCTAGAGATGAAAAACAGGTAGACATGACCATAGCTTTGGTCACTTCTCATGAATGGAAGGGTCTCCAGGCCCTTCAAGTCATTATGGTATTCATGCAGCCTTCAAAAAAAAAGAAGTGCTGGAAGAGTCCCTTCACTCAAAGATAATGTTCCTTCTTTTTCAATCTTTACCTGATGGGATAGCACCAAGGCCCACACAAAAAGTATGATAACCTCTGTCACACACATCACAGAACATCATTTCTTCTTCATGGTGGGGTTGTCCACATATAATGCAAGTCTTACACTCCATACACTGCCATGGGTAGGTCTTAATCATAGAAACAAGCTCCATGGTCATATCCAGGCAAGAAGGATGGCCTAAACCAAAACCAGTATTAGTTGCATTTCACACAAAGATTTTTAACTTAACATGGCACAGTAAACACTCCCTTGAACTGCTCAAGAATGGCTACAACGTTTTAACTGCCAGAGAAATGGAAACAATGTAGAAGAAAATACAGGGACTTTTTTATGTATCTGATGACTGGGTCAAGCCTAGCTGACAACTAAGGACCCTAGTTTTCAAAGCAACAATCAGAGCTTAAAATGTGAAGCTGAGTCAGTACTTACCACTGTTGTCACACTGGGAGCAGTGTACAAGTGGCTCAGCCTTCCCTCTCTTGTTGGACTCCTTACCCTTCAGACAAATTCCACATAGAGCATTTGGAATGACCTTTGGCTGGAAGGGTAGAAGAGGGCTATAAATTCATGCCAGGAGAACCTACTATGGGTTCAAAAGGAATTATTACTGTATTGCCTTATTTTACGTCCAGTAACTTGTTAATGAGGAACTAACTTGCTAATGAGGACCTTGAAAGACACCTGACACCAATCTGCCTTCAACATACAACAGCCTACCAACTATAAAGCCTTAGATTTCATTTTTAAATTTTGTCAAAGGTATGATCTCATGTTAGGATTAGATACGTCATTCCACACTTCCTACATACCAGTAAGATCTGTACAAATGACCTGGAGGGAAGACTATTACACTGTAAAACTGCACTGTTAACTGAAAGAAAAATGCAAGTACCAAGAGACTACTACAAGGGAGTTAGGCTTATTTCCAAACAGAAGGCTCCATTGTGAGCAGCTTATATGCTGATTTTGTTTAAAAGCTGATGTTCTCCAAAGTTGTGAGACTACATCTATAAACTCTAAGTTACAAAATCAATTTTTTAACATTGTTAACTGAAAGAGGTTTCAGGCATACATTGTCATGTGCAGAAAGGTTTGTGGGAAGCTGAGTTGTGTAACTTGTTCCCTCTGCATATCTTACACATTAATAGAGGGGCCTATGCTTAAGAGAAAAAGTACTCTATGACTTTATAAAACATAAAAAAGAAGTAGTTCTCAGATGTGCAAAATATAAAATGATCACTTAAAAAATATGCAGACACCCCCTATGTTTCAAGTACCATTCATTTTTCAGATGAAAAACACAAACAATCCAATGAAGGCATTTGGGCTTTAAAAAACACTTGGCAAAACGTGGGAAAGAACAAAGGTTCATAACACCTAAAATTTGGAGGGGAGGGGAGGGGAGGGGAATGGAACAACATCACAGCCTTGACCATGATACCGTGATGCTCACTCACTACACGAACATGGAGCAATGCCAGGAGAGCCAAGCAGGGGTCAAGGATGAAATGAAATGGGGGCCGAGGGCATGTTTACTCACTCATTCAATCACTCATTCATTTATATAAAAACTGGGAGAAAAAGTATTTTAAGTAGAAACATTGTGTCTGTTTTATTACAACCCAGTCAAACAACATCTTAAATTTCCATTCCCTAAGTTACTGAACCAAGGAGGAGCCTAAACAGAATTCCAATTTTGCATACTGTTACTCCAGCTTTGAAATGTCTTGCTGCCACCTTCAAAACCTGTACAGCCTAAACAATATGTTCTTAATTCTTTAGGTTTTTTTTTTTTTAATTATCTTTCTTTACAAAAGATGACAGAGGCATTCAAAAATAATTTTTGGCTTATTTATTTAAAAAAAGTCAACCTTATACATAAATATAATAAAAACAATAACTAAACAATCACAAACATCTCTACATAATAAATATGGAAGTTAAGACATACATATAAAACTTCACTGTTGACTATTCTATATCTCCTGTGTATCTTTGTACCCTGCTCCCCAACGAAAGGACAGCGTCACGTGTCAAACCTCTGAAGTCTGCAGTGTGGTTACCCGCTGTTGTAACTGCTGCACTCTACCCATGAGGTTCTCGCTGTGCTTTCTTACACCTAAATAGAAAATAGCTGGGAAGTGCACTTCTGTGATCCAAATTCTGCTTCAGTTATGATCAAATCTGTAACTGCCATAATATACAGCAGAAAGCTACCTCTCAAACCACCAAAATAAGAAATACCTTTTGGTTACGGTACCTGCACTAAATGTATAAGATATTTAATACTTACAGTTCAAGTTAGATACTGCCATACTAAGTACTTTAATATTTTTTCAGTAAAGTCAAGGAAGTAACCACACAATATTAAAATCTAAATTGAGAACTCCACATAGGAGATCCTTTACACAAATCAAAAGGAATAAAACACAAAGCTAGTCATTCACATTCTAGAGCAGTTCAAGTTCTACAATCATTAAAATATACATTGAACACCTACAATAAAAGGACACCAAGAAAATTCTAGGTTTACTTCTAAGGTTAAAATCATAATGTTCTTGTTAAACCACTTTAACAAGTAAGTTTTTCTTACCCAATAGTCTTCATCTTGATGAAAAGAGGGAGAGGTGGGTGGAGAGGGAGGGAGGCAGACAGAGACAGAGACAGAGCTTTGCAGCATTTTTATGATGGTGCCACAGCTCAATATGAAAAAATACTTTGTTCACTCAAGCACTCTGATCTCTCTCAGAAGCCACACTGCTCACATCCAGGACTGTACACATCTAGTGTCTCAGGGATTGCAGAGGTGATGGAAGAGGAAGGGACCAGCGTGGGGAATTCCCTGAAGGTTAATGAATGGAGCCCCACGTATGTCTGACAGAGACAGTCCTACTCCGTAAGAGCAACAACATCAAAGTTTCACTATTGACAAGAAAATTAAAAATATTCTGCCTAACAGTACTCAGCATCTCATATAAAAGGCTCACGATATACAATTTTCTTCCTTGAACACAATCAAAGATAGACTTTCATGACAACACTAATACAGTATAGATTTTAATTATAAACTTATAACACAGGCCTGAATCCTAACAATTATGCTTTAATTTCAGGTTAATGTAACCTAAACAATACTGTCCTACAAGTTAAAGGCAAGCACTAGTGAATCTTATTAAGCAAGACATCCGATACATTATAATTTTTCTTAACTTCTGCATTTTAAAACACATTTATATGTATGACCTTCAGCTTGAAGTACCCTAATAATCAGGCACATCTTGGCTTATTAATACTTTTCATAGAGAGGTTAACTTTTAATAAACATGTTCACATTAATGTATGAAGTCTAGATACTGGTTGTTCCAAACTGTGTTCACATTAATGTATGAAGTCTAGATACTGGTTGTTCCAAACTGTGAAATACCTGAAACATTTTTAGTTACTAAAAACGTTCACAGAAGATTATAAAACATTCTGCATATCCAACTTCCTTGAGTACTATCAATTTAGGTTAATCTATTTGATTTCTTCTATCTTAAATCAATGATAGTATTGAATAGTTCTTCATTTTCAACCTCTATTAAAATGTCTATTTTAATATTCTTCCTTGTTTAACCCATGATTAATCCAGGCTCACGCTCTGCAAGGCCCACTTAACACCGACAGTGTGCTCGGGGTTCCAGCTCCCAGCCCAAGCCCATCGCAGGTCAGGGCACACTGTAGCATGCAGCGCGCACCAGGCTAACTTTCCAGAATTTAATCTTTGGAGTTCATAAGCTTTCAGTTACCAAGCGTTAATTTAAACCTTTAGTTTAAAATCTTAGATAAGCTCTCTATGTAAAAACAAGAACAAAATCCCATGGTTGCAGCCTACTGCACCATCCTTGTTGAATGGAGCTGAGCTGAAAAAATATGAACTTGAAAGCTGATGATTTAATACGGAATATGGTAACTTGTTAAGCTGCTTTCTTACTGTAGGAAAAGGAGACCACAGACTCTAAGAAGGGCTCTGCTTAGGCTGAGGGGACACTGGTCAGCACCCACTAGAACCTGTGCCTCCGGACAACACTCCACAACCCTGGCCTGACATACGCAAGTGTTCAGCAACTCTGCTCAGCACAACTTTTTGATCATCTTACTCTAAAATGCTCCTTCAAAACACCTTCATAATCCCATAAAAAGCAGACTGATACATACCAGACTGAAAACTGTGTATTTTACTATTACCATTCAAAACATAAACTTGCAGCTAATTCTACTCCTTTTATGATAATCTTAAAACCCCACATATGAATGAGGCTACTCACCTCTCACCCAACCCTCTGAAGGAGAAGGGGCAGATAGCAGAAAGAAACACTAAAAATAATACTATTGCTGATAGCATGCTACCTGACCGAGAATAACCTGATCAAAAAGTTAATAAATTATAGCTAAGCCAAATCACCTTACCAGATAATGTGTAAATCCTTGTCACAGAATTGCACAGGCTACTCACCAAGGTGAGGCTACAAAATCACACTTTACTACTTTCCATCGCAGTTAGCTGAATTTGGCAAATGGATCAAATAATTCTCAGACTGAACCCAGATCATTCTTAATGAAAGGCACAGAAATGCAACTTTTCTATGAGGACTTCCTCCCCATTGCACTGCTCAGCGTTGCTAAACACCAGGAAGCTTTCAATGTCAGACAACGACGAT